CTTTGAATTTTATTAAAGAAAAAAATCTGCTATCGCACGGATCAAACTGCATCAACATTAAGTTAAGCGAACGATTTACTGATAAGAACGAGAACATTATTGCGAAAATTATCGAATGCGTCATTATGAATAACATTAATCTACAACTACGAGTTTCTATCTTTCTTTCTTTCTCCCTCTCCCTCCCTCCCCCCTTCCTTTCCTCACTCTCTGTCCCTACTTCTCTCCCTCCCTCCCTCCCTCCTTCCCTCCCTCCTTCCCTCCTTCCCTCCCTCCTTCCTTCCTTCCTTTCCTCACCCTCTGTCCCTCCTTCTCTCCCTCCTTCCCTCCCTCCCTCCCTCCCTCCCTCCCTCCCTCCTTTCCTCACCCTCCGTCCCTCCTTCTCTCCCTCCATTACACACGCGTGACGTCATGAACGATGAACATGTGTGGAATACATTTTCTGTCAAGAGCCAGATACATCGTGTTTCATCGGTATGACGTCACCATCTTGTCTTTTGTACGTGTTTTCAGAGTATTGTGTTTTTGTATTTTCTCCACCGTCTCCCCCTCTCACTCTTTCTCTCTCAATCTCTTCCCTCTCCCTCTCCTGTCCCTTCTTCCTTCGTTTCATGTGTCTCAGATGATGGACGTAAATGAACCCTGTGATTCTGTTTCCATGTGCTTCCTCCTCCTCCTCCTCCTCCTTTTTATCATTCTCCTCCATCTTCTCCAACCTCTCCTCCCCCCTGCCTCCTCTTTCTCCTCCTCTTCCTCTTCTTTTTCTTCTTCCCCCTCCTCCTCCTCTCATTTTTCTCATTCTGCACTTTCTCATTCTCCGTCTTCTTCAACTCCTCCTCTCCTCCTCCTCCTCCTCCTCCTCCTCCTCTTTTTCTTCCTTCTGTTTCTCCTCCACCTCCTCCTCTCCTCCTCCTCCTCCTCCTCCTCCTCCTCCTCTTCCACCTCTTCCACCTCTTCCACCTCTTCCTCCTCCCCCTCTTCCTCCTCCACCACCTCTTCCTCCTCCTCCTCCTCCTCCTCCTCCTCCTCCTCCTCCTCCTCCTCCTCTCCCCTTCGTGATTTGGATCCAGTGGCTCTTACCACGAAGCATTAATTCCGCATCACGTACTGGCATTCGCTAATTCTTCGCTGGCAGGATTAAAGGCGATTCCTCCTCCTCCTCCTCCTCCTCCTCCTCCTCCTCCTCCTCCCCTAGGCGCTCCCACGTTGCCTGCAGAGGATAAGGGGAGGGAGAGGGGAGGAGGAAGGAGGAGGGAGAGGGGGGAGGGAGAGGGAGAGAGAGAGGGGAGTAGGAGGAGGAGGAATGGGGGAGAGGAGGAGGAAGAGGAGGGGAGGGGGAAAGCGAGAAAAGGGGAGGAGGGGGAGAAAAGAGGAGGAGAGGGAGAAAAGAGGAGGAGAGGGAGAAAAGAGGAGGAGGGGGAGAGAGAGAGAGAGAGAGAGAGAGAGAGAGAGAGAGAGAGACGAGAGAGAGAGAGAGAGAGAGAGAGAGAGAAAGGGAGATAGAGAGAGAGAAAGGGAGATAGAGAAAAAGGGATATAGAGAGAGAAAAAAGGGAGATAGAGAGAAAAAAGGGAGATAGAGAGAAAAAAGGGAGATAGAGAGAAAAAAGGGAGATAGAGAGAAAAAAGGAGATAGAGAAAAAAGGGAGATAGAGAGAAAAAAGGGAGATAGAGAGAAAAAGGGAGATAGAGATAAAAAAAAGGAGATAGAGATAAAAAAAGGGAGATAGAGATAAAAAAAGGGAGATAGAGATAAAAAAGGGAGATAGAGATAAAAAAAGGGAGATAGAGATAAAAAAGGGAGATAGAGATAAAAAAAAGGGAGATAGAGGGAAAAAAGGGAGAGAGAGAAAAAAATGGAGAAAGAGAAAAATGGAGAAAGAGAGAAAAAGGGAAAAAGAGAGAGCGAAAGGGAGAGAGGGAGAGAAAGTGAGAGAGGGAGAGAAAGTGAGAGAGGGAGAGAAAGTGAGAGAGGGAGAGAGAATGGGAAAGAGAGAAAGGGAGATAGAGAGAGAAAGGGAGGGAAAAGAGTGAAAGAGAGAGATAAGAGAGAAAGAGCGGGAGAAGAGAGAAAGAGAGAGAAGGAGCGAAAGAAAGGAAAGAAAAAATGTGTTAGTATTGTCTTAAATTGAAGTGTAGAAAGAAGGGAACTGTATTAACATGCGGGGAGGTATGTGTTGACATGACAAGTGGTGTGTAGACGTGATGGAAGGGATGTGTAGATTTGTGGTGACATGAGGGAAGGGGAGTGTAGAAATGAGGAAAGGGGTGTGTGTACATAAGGGAATATATGTGTACACGTGAAGGAAGAGAGAGGGACACGTGGGAGAAAAGACGTGTATACATTAGGAAGAAGACGAGTATACATGGAGGAAGGAATGTGTACATGCGAGAGACCTTGATGTGTGTGCCCTAGATTTGAGTGGCATTAAATTGTGTACATGAAGGAGAATATAATAAAAAACGAAAGATTTAAACGTGTCACTGGGGACGAACATACAGCATGATATTGACACAGTGCAAGAGGTAAGTGTTATGGAGGGGGTGGGGGGTGGGGGGTGGGGGTGGCAAGTTACATGGGTAAAAGGGGAGGCACATAGTCATGTAGGGTGCACGTGGAAAAGAAGGGAAATACATTCATGAGGGAGTGGGGAGGTAAACTATGTGGGAGAGGGAGACAAGTATCTGTGAGGGAGAGGGAGAGAGACACCTATGAGGGAGAGGGAGAGAGGCACCTGTGGGGGAGAGGGAGACAGACACCTGTGAGAGAGAGGAAGAAAAACACATGTGAGGGAGAGGGAGAAAAAAACACCTGTGAGGGAGAGGGAGAGAGACACCTATGAGGGAGAGGGAGAGAGGCACCTGTGGGGGAGAGGGAGACAGACACCTGTGAGAGAGAGGAAGAAAAACACATGTGAGGGAGAGGGAGAAAAAAACACCTGTGAGGGAGAGGGAGACAGATACCTGTGAGGAAGAAGGAGACATACGCCTGTGAGGGAGTGGGAGACAGACACCTGTGAGGGAGAGGGAGACAGACACCTGTAAGGGAGAGGGAGACAGACACCTGTAAGGGAGAGGGAGACAGACACCTGTAAGGGAGATGGAGGCAGACACCTGTGAGGGAGAGGGAGACAGACACCTGTGAGGGAGAGGGAGACAGACACCTGTGAGGAAGAAGGAGACATACGCCTGTGAGGGAGTGGGAGACAGACACCTGTGAGGGAGAGGGAGACAGACACCTGTAAGGGAGAGGGAGACAGACACCTGTAAGGGAGAGGGAGACAGACACCTGTGAGGGAGAGGGAGACAGACACCTGTGAGGGAGAGGGAGACAGACACCTGTGAGGGAGAGGGAGACAGACACCTGTGAGGGAGAGGGAGACAGACACCTGTGAGTGAGAGGGAGACAGACACCTGTAAGGGAGAGGGAGACAGACACCTGTAAGATAGAAGGAGACAGACACCTGTGAGGGAGAGGGAGACAGACACCTGTGAGGGAGAGGGAGACAGACACCTGTAAGGGAGAGGGAGACAGACACCTGTGAGGGAGAGGGAGACAGACACCTGTGAGGGAGAGGGAGACAGACACCTGTGAGGGAGAGGGAGACAGACACCTGTGAGGGAGAGGGAGACAGACACCTGTGAGGGAGAGGGAGACAGACACCTGTGAGGGAGAGGGAGACAGACACCTGTGAGGGAGAGGGAGACAGACACCTGTGAGGGAGAGGGAGACAGATACCTGTGAGGGAGAGGGAGACAGACACTTGTGAGGGAGAGGGAGACAGACACCTGTGAGGGAGAGGGAGACAGACACCTGTAAGGAAGAAGGAGACATACGCCTGTGAGGGAGTGGGAGACAGACACCTTTGAGGGAGAGGGAGACAGACACCTGTAAGGGAGAGGGAGACAGACACCTGTGAGGGAGAGGGAGACAGACACCTGTAAGGGAGAGGGAGACAGACACCTGTGAGGGAGAGGGAGACAGACACCTGTGAGGGAGAGGGAGACAGACACCTGTGAGGGAGAGGGAGACAGACACCTGTGAGTGAGAGGGAGACAGACACCTGTAAGGGAGAGGGAGACAGACACCTGTGAGGGAGAGGGAGACAGACACCTGTGAGGGAGAGGGAGACAGACACCTGTGAGGGAGAGGGAGACAGACACCTGTGAGGGAGAGGGAGACAGACACCTGTAAGATAGAAGGAGACACCTGTGAGGGAGAGGGAGACAGACACCTGTGAGGGAGAGGGAGACAGACACCTGTGAGGGAGAGGGAGACAGACACCTGTGAGGGAGAGGGAGACAGACACCTGTGTGGGAGAGGGAGACAGACACCTGTGAGGGAGAGGGAGACAGACACCTGTGAGGGAGAGGGAGACAGACACCTGTGAGGGAGAGGGAGACAGACACCTGTGAGGGAGAGGGAGACAGACACCTGTGAGGGAGAGGGAGACAGACACCTGTAAGATAGAAGGAGACACCTGTAAGGGAGAGGGAGACAGATACCTGTAAGGGAGAGGGAGACAGACACCTGTGAGGGAGAGGGAGACAGACACCTGTGAGGGAGAGGGAGACAGACACCTGTGAGGGAGAGGGAGGCAACGGACACCCATGGAACAACACTGACACAGATGGGGTTTGACAAGAAAATGGTCTTGTAACACTCATAAATGGTTATGATTATAATCACTTCCATTCTGGCATGATGTGAATAAATCTAATGGAGCACATTTTGGTCTGGAATATTACTTTTCCTGTTGCAGGAATGTTTATAGGTATGAATGTTAGATAGAAACACCAGGTAAATTCCATTAAACGTTGTAAAGAAACGAACATAGAATATCATTACCTTAGGATTTTTGTCTGGTTTTGCTCTTGGTTTACGGTGTTTCGTCGGATGCTGAAGTATATGGATGTGAAAGAGCATGTTAACTGAAAGAGCTCTCCTCGTTCCTTCACAGCTTTTGTCGTCACTCACTGACCGGCTTGATTCTGTTGCAGGTGGCGTGTGCGCAGGCGCGCCCGCCATGGTTCCCGAGCCGCCCACGCTGCTGTCATGAGGATGTCTTGCAGTGGTTGGGTGTCGGGTGGGGCGGCGCCCCCCATGGTACTGGCGCCACCCGACTCCCTCGCCTACCGTCGCTACCTCCGATTCCTCCCCAGCCAGGAGGAGTCTGGAGGGAAGTTCCTGGCGCTGGAGGGCGCGGAGGGCTTGGGCCCGCAGGGGCGGCTCGTCGACCTCAGGCGGCAGGGGGAAGCCGGGTACGGGCACGAGGGAGTGCAATATCAGAACCCTAAAAATGGGAGCACTGGGTCGGCAGAGATAGAAGGCGGGAAGCTCGGTGATAAGGTAGCGGATGTGAGTGTGAGCTCTCGGGTTCAGCAGTACACAGCTATGCTTCGTGCCCGACACAGCGCGCAATATAACACGCCGCTTCAGACGTCCCGATCCTGCTCCAGCATCGTCTTTCGGAGTTCGCGTCGCAGTCTGTTCTTCCGGTCGGCCGAAGGGCACGAAAACAGCGGCAAGGAGGGCCCCGACGAGTCCGGATGCGAGAGCTCGCGCAACGGCTCCGTGGACTCAGGTGAAGGGGAGGTTGCCTTCTCCCCGAGGTACCGCTCCTTCTCCCTGCCATGGCCCAGTGACCCGACGTGGCGCTGGTCGAGCGATCCCAACATAACCAGCATGGCGGGCGTCCAGTCTTCCGCCTTCGGGTCCGTCGGGGGCCGTCGGGCCAGCGACCAGCACAGCGCCTCCCTCGTGCGCCTCGACTCCGCCACCAGCGACGAGGGCTGCCCCCGCGACGGCTCGACGGGCCCGACGCCACCGCCCTCACCTGTGTTCCGTCTGTCCGCGGCGAACCACCTCATGGGACTCATCACGCCCTTCAAGTCCCTCTCCCCCGCCTCCTCCATGGGTTCGCACCTGGGCTCGGTGGAGGACCTGCCGCTCATGCGCTCCAGGTCGCTGGGCCACGTCCCTGACCACTGGGCGCGCTCGCACTCGGCGGACAGCGCCGTCGAGGTGGAGGAGGAGTCGACCATCGTCTCGCCCGCTCTCTCGCCTGCTGTGCCTCCTGCGGACGCACCTGAGGCGTTATCCGGTTACTTGGCGGGCGGCGAGCAGGTCAACGGCGGGCCGGAGGCGAGCGGCACGTGCGATGCCTGCGGCGACGAGAGGAAGCTCGCGGCGGCGGAGAGCGGTCAGTGCAGTGAAGGCAAGTGCCCCGCGGACGAGCCTTGCGTGCCCAATGGTGATATAGTGTTTGGTGAGAGTGATGGTGAAAGTCACGCTTATTGCGATTGTAATGAAAATTGTGAGAAAGACGTGAGCTTTGCGCGGGAGAGCGTCGACGAGTGCTTGAGAACAGTGGAGCTGCGAAAGAAGTTGAGTCAGAGTGGGAGTCGTCGCGAGCGCAGGCACGGGGGCGTGAACGGCGAGGTGCTGTTCCGTCACGCCCGCGCCTGCGGCGTCGTGCAGAGCCCTGAGGACCGGGAGGCGGCGGGCAAGAAGGTGCTGAGGACGCCGTCCGTGGTGATCAGCGACCACAGCGGCGACACCATCAGCCTCACCGTCGCCCTCGCCTCCAGCGACTTCTCCATCGACCAGTTGGGGAAGATGGAGAAGCTGCGGGAATCGGCGAGCCCGACGCTGTCCGCGGGCGACGACAACGCCTCCCGGAAGGTGTCCAGCTGCTCCTCGTGCTCCAGCGTGAGCACCGTCGACATGACCACGCCCCTCACCACCATTAGCCTCGACAGCCTCATCGAGGTGCCGAATCGACGCATCTCTGACTGCTCCACGTGCAGCAACGTCACGGCCTCCGAGGACGAGGTGGAGCACGAGCTGTCAAGGCCTCCGCCCCCGAGAAAGGTAAGCCTCGCTCACGTCTTCAGTTCTCTGTCCCCGTCTTGGCCGCGAGGCATCCTTGCGACGCCCTTCCTGCGCCGGCCGGCCATTAGGCCGAGCGAGGCGGAGAATGTGCAGCGAAAGGGATCTTTATAGCCTTGCTTTACATAGGCCGAATCGATTCTATAAAATGATTTAGAAATAAGTATTCTTTCTGATTTAATGTACTTTTATATTGGCAAGTGAAGTGTAAATACAATGAATGAAGTCAGCTTTCTCTTTATTCTTACGGCACAACGGAGTGAATGAAAAACCCGTTTTATGGTTTGGGTAGGTGATATTTCTCTTACATACAGTGTGTTCGTAAATGATCTTTCTGTAGAGGAATTGTGAATTATGATATTATTATTGGTATAACTGACATCTCTGTGTTTCTTATTTTTGTGTTGATTGTTATTTTTATTATGCAATTTGTAAACTAAGTCAACGAAAATATAATCCACTTACCTTTGTTGATTTATAAACCCAAAGGCAACATTGCACAGCGGGGGCCCACAATCTGCCCAAGTAGAGTTCTTATCAAGTAGAGTTGTCGCTGCGTCCTTCAGCACAACTACGATGTTCGCAGTATTCCTTCGCTCCTTCGCTGGGTTTTTTTCCCCACATGTGAACTTGACACGATTTTTCATGAATTCTTGTAAAGTAATGCATGTCTGGGAATCTGGCCTTGACTCTCAGGACAGCGGGGGAAAGGGGGGGGGATGTCTTTAAGGAAAACACGTAAATGGATACGCATACGCACATGGGTACACGCACAGTTGCATACGTGGATGCATACAGACAGACATTTCTCTCTCCCACTCTCACTCTCACTCTCACTCTCACACAAACCCACTACTCTTGCGTGACCTGACCCTGAACCCTTTCCAAAATTAGCATAGTCGCTCATCTCTGCCCCAGTACCCACTAAATCATTTCGCCGAAGTGTCATACTTGTACGTCACCCGGGTAGTGTGATGTCACGGCGCGCTGTTATAACTCGCCGAAGAAAAAAGTAGACTGAGATAAAAGAAGGGAAAAGAAAAAAGTGCTGCTGGGAGAGGGAGAGCAAGTTTGTGACGCAGTTGAGGGTTTCGGTGTCGTCTTCTTGGTGAGGGAGAGGGTGAGGGAGAAGGAGAGGGAGAGGGGAAGGGAGGGGGAGAGGGAGAGGGGAAGGGAGGGGGAGAGGGGGAGGGAGAGAATGAGGGGGAGGGAGAGGGGAAGTGAGGGGGAGGGAGGGAGGGAGAGAGTGAGGGAGAGGGAGAGGAAGTAAGGAAGGAAGAAGAGAAAGCGAGAGGGTAAGGAAGAGGTACAGACAGGCAGACAGACAGACAGACAGACGAGGGAAATAAAGCAGCGACAGTGAATCGAAGGCCCAAGGGTCGAGGGAGAAAGACGCAGGGCTAACCTTGCTGCTTGTGCGAGAAAGCTGCTGCTAAATTCGGGCTAATGAGTTTTGCCGGCCGCGTCGAGAGGCTGTTGCGCCACCCACGGCCGCCGCCACCTCCGCCGCTGCCGCCGCCGCCGCTACGCCGCCGCCACCCCCACCTTCTGCTCCCGCCTCTTCTTCTACGCCGCGACGACCTCCTTCGTGATCGCCGTCGTCGCCCTCCTCTGCGGGTCTGGCGTCGCTCCTCCCTCCGTGCGGCCTTCTTCGGGCGGGATTTTATTCTCAATATCTTTCGGTTCGTCTTGATGCTGCTTATCTTTGCCTACTTATTCTCGTTTCTCTCATCTCTTCTGTTTCCATCCCCTCCTCCGCTTCGCCGTCGTCCTCTTCCTTCCCTTCCTCCTTCTCCTCGTCCTCATCCTTGTTATTGCTCTTCTTCCCCTCCTCCTTCTCTTCCTCTTCCTCTTCCTCTTCCTCTTCCTCTCTCCTCTTCCATCTCCCTTTCACCTACCCCTCTTTCCGCTTCTACTTCTTTCGCTTATTCCTCCCTTTTCTTCATCTCCTCCAACTCGCCCTTTTCCTACCGCCCTCCCCCACCCACCCTACTCCATCTGTCTTCTCTCTACCTCCATTTCCTTTTCTCTTTCCTTTATCCTCATTTTCTCTCCCTCATCTGTCGTATCTTCTTCCGTCTCCTCGTACTACCCCTTTCTCCTCCTCCTCCTCCTTTTCCTCCCCCTCTTCCTCTTCTTCCTTCTCTTCCTCCTCCTCTTCCTTCTCTTCCTCCTCCTCCTTCCTTCTCTTCCTCCTCCTCCTTCCTTCTCTTCCTCCTCCTCTCCTTCCTCTTCCTCTTCCTCCTCTTCCTCTATTACCTCCCAGCTCCCACTTCCTCCCCCTCTATCTCCTCTTCTGCTTTTTTCTTACTTCTTCCTCTCCCCCCATCCTCCCTCCCACTACCTCCACCTTCTAAACCTCTTCCTCCTCCTCCCCACCTTTCCCCTTCCTTCTCCTCATTCCTCCCTCTCCTCCTTCTTCCTCCTTACTTTTCCTCCTTCCTCCCTCCTCCCCTCCATCCTTCCTTCCTTCTCCTCCCTTCCCCATTCTTTCTCCTTCTTCCACCTTCTCCACCCTTCCCTCCATCCTTCCTTCCCTCCATCCTTCCTTCCCTCTATCCTTCTCTCCTTCTCCTCCCTTCCTTCCTTCTCCTCCTTCCTCCTTCCTTCCTTCTCCTCCTTCCTCCTTCCTTCCTTCTCCTCCTTCCTCCACCTTCTCCCTCCTTCCTCCTTCCTTCCTTCCCTCCATCCTTCCCTCCTTCTCCTCCCTTCCTTCTCCTCCGTTCCCCCTTCCTTCTCCATCCTCCTTCCGTCTCCTCCTTCCTCCTTCCTTCCTTCTTCTCCTTCCTCCTTCCTTCCTTCTCCTCCTTCCTCCCTCCTTCTCCTCCATCCTCCTTCCTTCCTTCTCCCTCCGCCCTGCCTTGCCTTCTGCACGATCAACCCGGCAACAAAATGATAACACCAACACGTGTCCGTCTCTGACAAGGGCAGTCGCTCTTATGATAACAAATAGTCGGATTACACTCCCAAAATGTTCTTTGTTTTCGTTGTTTGATTTTGTTTTACAGTTTTATTTCTTTGTTCATTTAAGTCCGGTTGTTTTGCTGTTGATTTTTGATGTCATTGTTGGTGATGATGTCAGTTGTAATAGTAAGATAAATGATTTATGATAAATGATAATGTCACGGAAGATATTGATAATGATAAGGAAGATATTGATAATGATAAGGAAGATATTGATAATGATAAGGAAGATAATGGTAATGATGAGGAAGATAATGATAAGGAGGTATGATACAGAGAAGAAAGATTATAATGATGATAACGACAACGATTATTATGAAGTGAAAACGATGAGAGTGGTAATGACTTCGATAAGGAAGCTTTGTAAGACGATAACGATGATAATGATAAGGAAAACAGCAATAATGATAAGCAGAATGATAACGAAAAGAAGACACGAAGAAGGGAAATGATCCTCGTTCATTACAATTGTTGTTTTAGTGACTTTGATAATGTCCACGACACCACACTTACATTTCGAAAATATATTTACTTCTGTTACAAAAGAAAGGTGAAAAAAAATCGGGTGAAATGATGCTGATGCTGAAATGATACTCTTTCTTGATAAATTTTATTAATTACCATGTAGCCTTTGGAAAATATAAATGTTATCTAAGCCAGGTGTAGCGAGCAAAGGTAATGTGCTGTTTCTTGGTACCATGATTTAGAGTTCTTAACTCATTTAATGTTGCAGTTCATTGACATGGTTCTACTGCGCGATGCAACTAGCAGGTGAAGCGAGCAGTTTAACGAGAAATTAAAGCGAGCAGGTGAAACGTTCAGCTGAAACGAGCAGGTGAAACGAATTATTTAAGCGAGCAGGTAAAACGTACAGGTGAGATTTACAGGTGAAACAAGGTGTTGAAGCGGACATTCAATTAAAACTTGCTGTTAAAACGAGCAAGTGAAACGTTCAGGTAAAACGTGCAGGTGAAATGAGTAGATGAAGCGAGCAGGTGAAGAACAGATGGAACAAGTAGACGAAGCGAGCAGGTGACGCGAGCAGGTGACGCGAGCAGGTGAAAAAAGGCATGTACTCACCTCCCTTGCCTGTGTTACCATGGCGGGTGAGTGGTCAGCCTGCACTCGGGGTTTCCGGTGCAATTGGCAGGGTCAAGGGTGAAGGAGGGGGGGGGGTGCGGGGTAGAAAGATGCTACTTGGGTCGTTTCTCTGTCTGTCCGTTTGTCTGTATTTGTAGGTAGAGGGATAAGGAAAGGGAGGGGAGGGGGAGAGGTAGCGGGAAGGGGAGGGGAGGGGAATGTTGGGGGAGGTAGCGGGAAAGGGAGAGAGAGGGAGAGGAAGAGGGAGGGAGAGAGAGAGAGATCAGAAGAGAAGGAGAGAGAAAGAGAAAAAGATGTGATCTTTCTTCAGGATAATAATGTTACTTAATTATTTTTTTCTATTTGTCGATTAATGTTTGTACAAGTAAGTGCGTTGTTGACATACATAGATGTCGTGATACAAAGATGTCCCCCCTTCCTCCCTTCCTTCCTCCGCCCCCTCCCCCCCTCATCATGCATTTCCATAAACTAACAATAGGACACGCACTATATTGCAAAGGTCACTGCATATCTTTGCTTTGCGTTAATGTGCAATGCGGGTGTGCATGTGGACGGCATACCAAGTACTGTATATATATATTCTTTCTTTCTTTCTTTCGTTCTTTTCTTTTTTTAAGATTTTATGTACGATTTTTTTGTGGGGGAAAAAATATGAAACGAGAAAAGGTAAACAAAACATTACGAATAGAGGATGATAGAAATGAAATAAAAAATTGTAGGTATATTTTGGTGTGTTTGCTTTTTTGTTTGTTTATTTGTTTTTGTTTTTTTTTGCTTATTTTTGAAAGATTGATTTAAGTCTGGCGTGATTTTGAAATAAAAAACGAGCTAATAAAAATCGAAACAGAATGTCTGCCTCGCCATTCACATTTTGACGAGGTAATGACAGCTTGCGTGCTTGCTTACGTCACTCTGAAAACACGTATAATGATTTCTATTGATTTTAGACATTCTTTTTTTTTTATATCGAGCATGGACGGAAGCTGCAGTGACGTAAAAGGGCGGGAAACAGCGCGAGGCGACAGATAAGACTTAGGCATGACGTCACGAGCTCGAGGTGACGGGGGGCAAGAGGGAACTTCGCGCCG